CAAGCTATAGAATGAGAGAGAGAATAAATGTAGAGTGGAGTGTAGTGCAATGTGTGGGATGGGATCATTTGAGATGAACTCTCCTCTTCTTTATATAGACTTCTTTGGTATAGGATCCATATGGTTTAATGATCAAAGTCTTCTTTTGTTAGGTTGTAAAGCTCTCTTTCAGGTCTCCATTTTCTTTAATCATGACTCACCCATGTGCATAGAGTTGATCTTGGTTTGCATGTGAGGAAAGTTGTCCAAGATTTGCTTCATAATTTGTGCTCCATAATTTGTGGAATTTGGCTGGCAACTTTTGGACTAAATTTTAGTTTTTTTTGATTTGGCACGGGCGTGCTGCCTGGCAACGGTCTGGGGCATGCCAGGCTCTGGAGGTCTGGGGCTTTCCAGCACGGGCCAGTGCGGTTCCCGCACGGTCTGGGGGGATTCCAGGGCACGGGCGTGCGTACTGGCACGGCTGTAGGCGTGCACTCTTCTGGAAGTCTGGAAGTTGTGTAGCACGGGCGTGCTTCAGCTGCACGGGCCAAGCTTCTGTCTCCAGTGCGTGCACGGGCGTGTTCTTTGGCACGACTTGGGGCGTGCATCTCTCTGGAAGTCCGAGGCATTTGAGGCATGGGCGTGTGCCTTAGCATGGGTTAGGGCGTGCGCCTTCTGGCTCTTTGCTTTGATTTGCCTTGTGTTTGGCACGGCCGTGCGCCTTAGCACGGGCTGGGGCATGCTAATCATGTTTTGCCTTATTTTTGTCCTTTTCTTGCAAAATCCTACACTTTTCCTCAAAAATCAAGTGAGTTGTATTTCAACAAGTTGAGTTGTATTTCAAGAAAAGCTTTTAAATAAAAAACATAACAATATTTATAATAAAAACCTAATTTAGATAAATAAAAATGCTAGAAATCTTTAGTAAATTAAATAAAAAAACATTATAAAAATTAACACTAATCAAAACTGTATACACATATGGGGTACAAATCAAATATAATTTTATATTTTTTGTATAGGAAAGTCTAAATAATAAACCTCTTAATACAAAAGAATAAAAAAAATACAATCTTGAGTTTGAGTATCTGGATCGAGTTGACAGTGTATAATATTTTGTTCCATAGGTGATTCCTTGGCTTCACTTGGTGGCTATTCATAGCCGCTATTCGACTACATATTTTTGTATAGGAAGTCTAATAATAAACCTCTTATACAAAGAATAAAAAAAATACAATCTTGATTTGAAGTATCTGATCGAGTTGACAGTGTATAATATTTGTTCCATAGGTGATCTCTTGCTTCACTTGGTGGCTATTCATAGCCGCTATTCGACTACATGGTCTTTCTACAAGTCCGATCTGATTACTTTCAAATTTCTTCCTTCTATTTGAGAGGAAATCTGCAGTTTTTTTCTACATAACTATCCAAATAATAAAAGACGCTAGACAAAATTACCATAATAGTGAAAACAATAATTCATAACAAAATCCCAAAATATGGATAATAATAACTCAGAAAATCTGTGAACAAAATCCCAAAATATGGGCAATAATAAATCCCAATATTTGAGTGACAATCACTCAAATATAGAAATAGATCTGAAGATTATTTGCAAAAAAATAAATAAAAAGAAAGAGGTGACCACCGGTGAGAGCTCATCAGTGGCCACTCGTGGAAGAAAAAAAAGAGAATTGTTAGGTTTTAGGTTTTGAGAGAAAGAGAGAATCGCTCAATGTTATATATTTTTTTAACTTGGTTTTAATCTTTTCATTTTTTTTTCATAAAAATCAAATTTCATTAAATCATGCCTTTCGAGTTGAAGGAGGGGTTTAAGATTTAAATTGGTAATTTTTAAAAGTAATTTATTTCTTATTACACATTGACTTATGGAAATAATTTTTTATTTTTATTTTGTTTTCTATTATTGAATCAATTTATAACTACTATCACCTTCATTTAGTAAGAGATTTGCATATCCATTGCAATAAATAGATGGTCTCTTAATAATTAAATATTTTTAATTTGTTGATTTTTTTTTCTCTTATATCCTAAATTTGTTTGACTCGAAGGAAAATAGTGTTTGGAAAACTGGAAAAAAATTAGAGCTATATATTTCTGTTTTAGGTCTTTTTTTTTTTTTTTTTTTTTTTTTTTTTTTTTTTTTTTTTTTTTTTTTTTTTTTTTTTTTTTTTTTTGAGGTTTCAAGGATCCATGTACATGAATATGTTCATTTTTCTAGTGCACTAAATAACACTCTCACTATAGTCAAAGTGATTGCCGCTAGCATTTTGGCTTGTGTGTGCTATTTTTAAACAATTCAAATCACTTTTTCATTTCTTGTTTTTTACTATAAATAATTTTTTATTTTTTGACCTTTCCATCATATATAAATATATATATATATTTGATTTAGGGTTGCGGGACATGTGATTGGGGATTGAATGATAACTTGATGTACTTTCTGGACACTTATTAAAATTTTAAGAATCCGCATATATAAATTAGGGGCTAATATTAGATTTAAGAGTCATATTAAATTTTATTTTGAGGCCACTTTATTATATAAAATAGAACTAAGTACATAGAATTAGCATTATTTTTTAGGGCAAAGTGTAATATAAATAACTATTGTATTTATTTTAATCTAAATAAAAATTTATGCTTTAATTTATATAAATAAAAAAATTAAATGAGTACAAAGGACTAGTTTATGTGCAACGCACGTTATAAAAAAAATAGTAATATATAGAAGTGAGGATGGGTGGGAGAATATTGATATTGCCAAAAACATCTGGATTAACAAAAATATCATTAAGAATTTTAATTTGATTGATTGAAAAAAAAAAGATAATTTAATTTTAATTGGTTATATTAATTTTTTATTTAAATTTATTTTTAAATTGGTTATATTAATTTTTTAAATTTAAATCTAAATTATATTTATAAAAATAAATAAATAATAAATTATATAAAATATGATAATAATATTTGATTCCATCTTTTTTATAACTGGAACTAATAATTTTGAAATCTAAACCATATAATATAATATTAAATAAGGTATATAATGTATATATTAAATATGGTAATATATCCATATTATATGACAATAAATATGGTAATATATGCATATTATGGTAATATACACATATTATATGGTAATACAATATAATATTGTAGTACTATTTGATAGATATTAAATAAGCTATATATTAAATATGGTAAGAATATAATATATTTAAGGATTTTAATTTTCTTGGTAGCAAAAATAAAAGTAATTTAATTTTGATTGGTTATATTATATTATATAAAATACATATTAAATATGGTAAAAATATAATATGTAAAAAATATAATATATTTAAAGGATTTTAATTTTTATTGTTAAATATGGTAAAAATATAATATATTTAAGGATTTTAATTTTATTGGTAGAAAAAATAAAGATAATTTAATTTTGATTGGTTATATCGTAGTACTAAATAAAATACACATTAAATATAGTAAAAAATAAATATGTTTAATTATTATTTTTAATAAATATTTAATTTAATTGGTTGTAATTTCATACATGTAACTTACTCTACAAAAAATAAATAATTTTATTATTATTTATTAAAAATATATTATAAAATTTATTGTTTGAATAATATAAGACGTTATATTAGCAAACCATATAGTATATTAAAAGAATTTTTTTCTAAAAGAAAATCAAAAATTAATTAAATGCTCATAGACTTTAAAAAAATTAAAAAAAGAAAAATACCAAAATTGTAAATGATGCTCTTAAACAATAATTAATATACTAGTTATTATAATAGTTAATATTGGTTTTTCATATTCTGGTAATACATATAGTTTTATGATATTATATTATATAAAAAAATTAAGTTAATTAAATTTAAATTGATTAAAATATAATTTTATTTTTATAAAAATTTGGTTATCAAATTATAATATTCCGTCGACAAGCTAATTTGACATTATGAGAAGAGGGGGAGTATAACACTGTATGTACCATTTATACAAACTGTCAATTTCTTATTCACATGTTAAATTTCTTTTCACTTGACTTTTCATAATTTGATAGGTTATAAATGATTTTAAAACTTTATTAACTTTTAGGTCTAACATCGCTGTTAGATGGATTCGAAGACAAGCGAATACATGAATTTATAATCCATATGTTAGTTATGGCTTTCTATAAACATATTTCTTTTCAAATGCGGAATTAATTCCACGTTGCTTATTACTTTTTTATTACCTTATTACCTTTTTATTAGTCTCAATAAAAGTGTCTGCTTTGCTCACTTTCAAAAAAATTTTAAATAGCAAAGGTCTTATTTTTAGTAATAAAATTATACAATATATAAAATTGAAAGCTTAAGAAATTCATAATTGTAATTAAAATTTTATGAATTTTGAATTTTTTGAAAAATTTTTTATATTGATGATATGCAAAACATGGTTTGAATATAAGATTTGAAACTACTGTTTTCCATTCAAATATTTTGTTAAAGTTAAGAAACTAATATTTGAACTTATCAACTCAATTAAAAATCTTAAAATTAATATTTTATAATTAACATTAAAAGAAATGATAGTTAAACTTAAATATCCTAGTGTTACAATTAAATCATAACATTAAATGAATAATACTTGAGCTCAATTATTATTATTATTATCATTATAATACTTAGAATTAATATTTAAATCCAGTTAGTAATTCTGATATTTATATTTAAATTTATTGTAAAAAATATTTGTATTTAATTAGCAAGTTGTAAAAAACAGCAAATTAAAATACATGATAATAGTATTATGATAATAACAGTGTTACAGTAAAGTAAAAATTGAAATCGTTTTCAAAAAAAAAAAAAAAAAAAAAAAAAAATTGAAAATCGTTTTCAAAAAAAAAAAAAAAAAAAAAAAAAAAAAAAAAAAAAGAAAAAAGAGTAAAAAATGAAATTAAAAAGAATATAATAACTAGGTATATATATAGTAGTAGTAGATTTGCACCGACGCTAGATAGAGAGAAGCGTCTGGTCGGGATCACCCCACCAGCCACAACCATAACCACAAGATCAAAAAATCATTACTCGTACACCCTCTCGCTCGTCGATCGCTACTGGGATCTTCCTATCCTACTCTATCTTTCTATCTATCTATTATAAAATTTTTCAAAGAAAATCCGCCAAAACGGATATTTACACGGAGATTGATTGGAGTATTAATAAAATGACCACATCAGGCGGCGGTGGCGGCGGCCGCTACATGGCCTATTCTCCTTCTCCGTCCGCCCCTCACTCTCCCCATCTATCTGGCCTCCGCTCCGCCTCCTCTGCTATTGTGGAGCAAGAAAAGTAACTTTTCTATCGCAGATCTAGATCATCATTTTCGTTTTACTCTCATTTGTTAACTAGGGATCTAGGTTTTTTATATGATCGAGTGTGTTCGAGTTTGATTCAATAAGATTTGTTAGTTCTTTTTTTTTTTTTTTTTTTTTTTTTTTGGTCCGGGGAGTATTTTTTTTTTTTTTTTTTGGTCGGAGTATTACTCACTGTGTATGATCTAGTGTTATTTGATTTTGCTAGACTAGTAGCAGACTCAGTGGTTTATAACTTCATTCAGATCAAACTTTTTATTTGTCCATTGTGCACCGAATTTCATTTGTACTTTACTACTTTATTAACTGATCATGCTGCTCTTCCTATATCTATGTGTTTTTGTATTACATTTGATTTCTCACCCACTGTAATTGCGGTGAAATTTGGAATGGTTTAATGGCTTCTGAAGCTTCAGATCACTGATATAAGATGATGTTGGTTCCTTATAGAATGCTGTGATTTACAATCATTTCCTTGATCCCTCTTTTCAGTCATATTCTGTTATCAATATATTTGCTATAATGAACTAGCTACAAACTTCTTATTTTTAACAGAGCATGGTTAATGGAATGTGTTTTGTTTCTTTTCAATTGCAGATATCTTTCAGAGTTACTAGCAGAGCGTCACAAGCTTAGTCCATTTATGCCTGTGCTCCCTCATACCTATCGATTGTTAAACCAGGGTGAGTTTCATAAAGAAGCTTAGTCCATTTATGCCTGTGCTCCCTCATACCTATCGATTGTTAAACCAGGGTGAGTTTCATAAAGTCACTTGTCCATTGTAGTCTATTATAGTGATAGAGGCAATACATGAATTATGGTGTAAATATTTCTCTTTGCTTGTGTATGGGGAGTTAGATCGTGATGCTCTAACTTCTAATATATAAATGTTAGTTGAACGTATGGGAACAAATTGTAAACCATATTTGTTTTTTCCAGTAAATCAAGCAACTGATAAAAGAAGGTGATTAGATCTCTTATCCTCTAGCTTCTTTTTCATTTTGCAGTAATCGTGTTTAGGTATGTAATTAGCAATTCAATGTATGCAAAATGCTTAATGAGGATCATATTTAAAATGTTTCTGGTACATATAACTTTAAGGGTCAGCAAGTTGCATGATTCTGTGCTCTCTCTTTAGTGAGTTAGAACATAAACCTCCATGGCTACACCATCTTTTTTGAAATGCATATGACCCCCAATTGTTATAGACATGATTAGGAAAAGGGTATATTAAAATGTGTCAAAAAGCACTCGCTTAAGCAATGATGCGAAGCGTCAAGTAGAAAAGTGCTTTTAAATATCAAAAGGGAGGCGCATTCAATGAAGCGAGGGCCTTTTGCGCTTGGCCGTGCCTTATATCAAGTGCAAATCGAGTAAAGCCTTCAGTTTTAGGGATTTTTTTAAGTACTAAAAAGTAAGTGTTTTAGAGTCTTTTCGCTTCCTAATGACTCTGGAGACAAATTAAAACAATTAAACAAAACAGGGTATTTTACCTTTCAATTAGACTTGGACTTTGGAGAAATTGTTCTTTATTAGTGGTCCCACGGCAGGTACATATGTTTTTTAACCGCAAAGTGTTTTAGAGTCTTTTCACTTCCTAATGACTCTTCAGTGACCATAGACTTGGAGACAAATTGAAACAATTAAACAAACAGGGTATTTTACTTTTCAATTAGACTTGGACTTTGGAGAAATTGTTCTTCACTAGTCGTCCCACAGCAGGTACATATTTTTTTAACCACAATTTTTTATTAATCTTTCTTCTTTTTCTCAAGACTCTACTTAAAATTTTTTTTTCCACTCTACGCCAATAACTTTCAGCCTTCAAAAATTTTGTCCCTAATTCTTCATTCCGTCTATGAACTATGATCTTTCAGTCTGAATTTTCTCCCATCAATCACTTCTACGCCAATAACTTTCAGCCTTCAAAAATTTTGTCCCTAATTCTTCATTCCGTCTATGAACTATGATCTTTCAGTCTGAATTTTCTCCCATCAATCACTTTCATCTCAACCTGAATTTTTTTTCCAATTCCGAATCTTTTTCTAATACTGAATTTTGTTTCCAATTCCGAATCTTTTTCTAATACTGAATTTTTTCAATTCCAATATTGAATTTTTCGCAAGACCGGATTTTTTTTTCAAAGTTGAATTTCCAATACTGCCTTTTTTTTTTTCAGAGTTCGAATTTTCCAATACTAAATTTTCACAAAATTATTTTCATGACTGAACTTTGTTTTTATAATCTGACTGTAACTTTCAGCCCTTTAACGCTTTAATTATTGACCTTTTTTGCTCTAATTATTGACCTTTTTTTTTAATTCTTGTTTTAATCCATCATTTTTCTTTTACATTTAACTTTATTTTTTCGACATTGATCATGGCTGCCCTCTATTAGGTGCTGAATTTTTTTTATTTATATAATTAGGTAATTTTTTAAATAATTTTGCACTTCAATAAAGCGAGCATTTTTTTTTGCTCTTTGCGCTTGAAGCGATGGGGGATGCATCACTTTGGCTGCTGCTTACGCTTTTAACTACTTTATGTGAATCCTTTGGCTTTAAGTGCATGACAAACTCGCAAATTGCTGTTAACATCTTCATAAGCATGAAATGATGATGGGTTTTAGGGAATTGTAAATTTGGTTTATTCTGATTTTGGTAATATCTTGTTGAATGAGCACAAATTTTTGGCACTGAAAGGAAACTATTAGAGGAGCTAAAATTTTGCTACTGTGATAATTCGTTAAGCTTGACATGAAAGGAATTTCCTTTAGTATTTTTAATAACTGAGAACATGCTATCATTGAGTTGCATTGACATGCATATAGGTGACTCGCATTCTTGAGAAACTTGGGAAATTATCTGAGTCATAACAATTCGCACATGGTGTAGGTTAATGTGCTTGACTTTGTAGATTTATTCGTTGCTTATGGGTTTTTAAATCTTTGATGTTATTGGATCCGTTGGTGTTTGGTTTCTTGCCTTATTTGATAGTTTGGATGGTTCACTTTTGGAATCCTTTAAGCATTTGAGATGATAGGGGTCGATGGAAGAGGATGGACTTATCGTTTGTAGATAGTGTGATTGTGTGCAAAGGCACAGAATGGATGAACTTTTGGCTATCTAGCTTCCTCTGTAAATTTGCTTCTATTTCCATTGGCATATATGAAGGCATCTTAATGCCTCTTGTAGAAACTGAAGTCTTTTGGACAAGTAGATGTAATATGTATGCAATGTAACTTAATTTAGGGACAGAAAATGGATTTTTGTAACTTTAGAGTCATATGGATTGCTAGATCTTTGCAACACCTAAGGCTACTTTTGGTGGTAGGAATGAGACAATAGTGGATATAATGATACCAGAGGAAACGAGTCAAAAGTTGTCTCATCCTTTGTAAATGCAGATACAAGAAGTAAACATCCTACAGAGAAAATTCTGGGGAAAAATAGAAAATTTTAACTTCTTACTTTTGTCATTGACAAGCTAAGCCTGTGAAGGACAGAACAAAAATGCATTCAATGCAAGACAAACGGAGATTAGCTCATTCTTATTTGCCCTGTTCTGTCTTCTGCACCAGACATGATCTAATAGGATCCTTACCATAAGTTATTGAAGATTTATATGTTGTGCAATGTTTGGTATAAACACTGCCTTTGTATATTTACTGAATAAAATAAAAAGGAAGACTCTCTAAAATTTAATTAGGCAGACATATGTTTGAAATCTGTGGAATCTGCAGAGAAGTTTTTGAAGTCTTGAGAACTTCGGCGGTTAATGTCAACTAAGCATCTGCTGGGTTTTGTTATAGAAATTGTAGCATATATACTCACCAAATTGGAATGCTGACTTTATTGCCAAAAGAGGGACTTGGATTGGCAGGTTTCTGTAATGGCTTTCTTTTTCCATTTTGATTTTCCTCCTAAACCTCTGTCTTTGTTGCATGGAATGTCTTATTTTTAACACTTGCTGTTCTTTTGGCCATTCTGTCAAACACATGGAACCAACTTTCATATATACAGGTACTAACACTTGGTGGTGAGGAATTTCTTTATGGTGCTTGTTTTATTCTGGCTGTATTTTTTGGTGGTTCGTTAATGCCCTGCGATTATCTCTAGTTACATGGCTCGGGATTATCTTTTGTGAATTGGTTAATTTTATGTTTCGTTAAACTAATTAGTCAAATTATTTGTAACTCTGTTATTTGCTTATTTATGCATAAGGTAGGTTAGGACTAAATTATGTGGTCCTTAACTTTTCATATCAGAAAAAGTTCTTCTGAAGTTTAAATATATTTAATGGGGCAAGCATTGATTCTTAACTAACTCAGTTAACAATCCGTCTTGTCTCTCCATTTTGTGGTGACTGCTAACCAATCTATTAACAAATGCTAACTGGTACATCTTGTTCTTGAAAATTGACATTTTTGGAGCAGAAATATTGCGTGTAACTACACTGTTGGGGAATGCATCAGTTTTAGGTCAAAGTGGGCTTGAACATGCTAGCCCTCTGGCTTCTGGAGGAATATTTTCAAATGGAGGAGCCGATGCAAATGGATGGGCATCACGGTTTCAATCAGAAGTACGGATACTAACCATTAACATAACCTTCTTTTTCCATCTAATTTTACTGTTTTCTAGAAGCATTCCTGACTAGATATTTTACATTTTATGCTAACCCTTAACTTTGTTTGAGTTTGTAGTTTAAATTGCGGAGTTTTTCATGACAGGTAGAATGCGTCTGAGGCTAACATCATCAACCAATGAAAGTAGATCTTAACTTAAGCATGTGTTTCAGAATTTCTTTTTTAGTTAACTTGTTCTTCCCAAGCTTTGTCTAAAGTTTCATGGAGACTCGAACATGATTTTCCGTTCTAATTTTGACAAACTATGGAGATATATCACATAAAACTTTTTCAAAGCCCTACATCTTCTAGTTGGGATGTCTGACATGCAGAGTACTGAGTCAGAGTTTATTTGATTTAGGAGGCCTAAGATAATTGAAGTCCTAATACTTGTGCAGAATGCTAACCTTTTGGTTAACCAATGTTGTATTTGATCTGCAATGTTGCTATAGCAGCAAGCCAGACGCCTTGTGCAAGATAGAAGATAACGAGTCTGTTCAGCTTGCTAGTGGCTCTAAACTTCATTTAAGACTTTGATCCCATTACACTTTCTCTTAGGTTTAGAAGCTTCCATTTCCTTGTGTGGTTATGCTTGAGCATCTGCTTTGAACATTTTATTGTTGTACATGTCAAGATGCACTTTACTTTACTACTTTACGGTTTTGCTTTCTGCCCTCTTGGCATACTGCCTCATGCAAATTCTTTAGAGCTGCTCCGAAGAAGCTATTAATGTTTCTCCGACTCTGAAGCTTCTTATCATTTTTTCTCATCATAGAAAGCTGGACAACGAGCTGTTTATATCATTATGGTTTGACAATATTTAGAATTATGTTGTGCAGATGTCAAGTTTATTACAACCCTCATCAGCACAGAACTGGCTGAGTTCACAAGGCAGCTCATCTGGTCTTATTGTTAAAAGAACTATCAGAGTGGATATTCCTGTTGATACATATCCTAGTGTATGGATAATTTGTGTCCTGTTTTTTTTATTTTTGTCGTAGTTTCCCTTACCTGTGTTATCTAACATCATTCTTGTCGCAGTACAACTTTGTCGGGCGCCTCCTTGGCCCTAGGGGGAACTCTCTTAAACGAGTGGAAGCAAGTACCGAGTGTCGTGTTCTGATCAGAGGCCGAGGTAGCATTAAGGATCCAACTAGGGTAATATTGAGTTTCTATTTTTGTTTTCTCCTCGATGTGATTATGTATTTATTCATGTTCCTGAATATCATTATGGCTTTGACCGTGAATGTCATAATGAACTAAATTTTGTGATTTTGATTTTTCCCTTTGTGCATATATGCAAATTATTGCTTTCAATTTGGCCTTAGTAGTTACACACAATTGTTTATTTCTTAAAGGAAGAAATGATGAGAGGGAAACCGGGGTATGAGCATCTGAATGAACCTCTTCATATCTTAGTAGAGGCAGAATTACCAGTCGAAATAGTTGATGCTCGCCTAATGCAAGCACGCGAGATACTTGAAGACTTGTTGAAGCCTGTGGTTTGTAACTTCATCCTTTTGTGTGTTGATCTAGGTTGCAAGCAACTTTTCCTTGATACTTTTTGAATGTTCCCTTCTTGTACAGGATGAATCTCATGATTTCTATAAGAAACAGCAACTAAGAGAGCTAGCAATGTTGAATGGTACCCTTCGTGAAGAGGGTTCTCCCATGTCTGGTTCTGTTTCTCCGTTCCACAACAGCCTTGGTATGAAGAGGGCCAAGACCAGGGGGTAATGGATCCCCAATTTGAATTGGGCTTTTGGAGCTTGTGTGTTTGTCCTGCCATTAATCAGCGGTTCGCATGCGACAGATGTCGCTGTGTCAGCCATTGCCTCCGACTGCCATCGGGGCACTGGCACTACTCTTGGGTGCCAGTTCTAACTTGTTTCTATAAGTGTGTTTATCTTATGTTTGGGGAGAGTTTAATGACAGTATCACATAGTAAGGAGGCTGGTTGAGTTGGGGGGGGTTTGCTTGTGTATGTTGCTTAAGGCAGTTTGGACTCCTAGACTGCCCCTGTATTAAAATTAGTCTTTACTACAAGCGTGTATTGGACAATTTTGATAGTGATGATGCAAGAATGGTATGGTTTGTATACAAATAGTGAGCTAAGCATCTATCCGTCCTGTGCATCTTCTTTGGGATGGTTTGTTTTGTATTATCAAGTGTAGAATGGATTTGAATTTGAAGGCGGTCTTTATCGTCTTCTCTGACAATTGAATTTGCTTTTCTTCTGCCCATTTTCATCTTTTCTTCTTCCTCTCTTTTTCTTTTTTGACGCTATATATTCCTCTGCTGTCATTATTGCTGTTGCGTTGTGCAGGTTCCTGGATTTTTGGCTGCTAACGAAAGGTAAGCTCAAACTTTGGTGACAATAAGAATGTGGATGAGTTCGATGGGAGAAAATATTTAACAAAATTTTAGATAATCATTTTGTTTATCAGATTGTCGAGTAAAAAATCGCAATTTTTTTTTTTTTTTTTTTAACATTACAAAATGAAAATAAAGGTGTTCTTAAAATAGAATGTTAAAATGTTAAGAATAAGCAGACGGCTTTTAGCTATTTATGTAGAGAAAAACATAGAGCAATGGCGATGAAATGTTAATGTAATTTAATTAAATACATTTTTAGCATAATGGTTTTGTTTATAAAATACATTATATTAAATTCCACTTTGGTAAGCTTACCAAAATGAATCTTATAATGTCCTAACATGGACAATTTTACCCCTTTATTTTCTTTAGTGTGATAATAGAAAAACTTGTCTACTTTGCCCTCTCCCAATCCTCTAAATTATAACATGAAAAATAAAAAGGGTTTTGATAACAAAGGTTTGGAATTCCTGAAATTACATAATCGGTAATGAGTTTCGTTTCTTAGTAATGACAATATAGAACAAAGACAATATGCAGAATCATCAAGTCCTGCAACTATCAACCATATATATATAATGCTAAATTAAAGATGAAGAATTTGCATATAAAGAAGTATATTATAAAAAGAAAGGGATGATGTTCATAACCTGTCTAAAATATTGCTGCATTCATTCCACTAAACAAATGCAATTTTTTTCCAATGCAACCTTCTGAACTGGTTTCATGCACAATTCTCGAGTATAATAGCATCTTATTAGACCTATATTCGAGTTATACTTCTGAAACTATTTACATTACAAATTTAAGAAGCAATGAACATTACTACTGCACATTCAAATTCAACTGCATGTTATTGGAAACAAAAGTTCAACTGGAACCTTTATCTATGTGGATTTCAACTTCATACATAGACAGCTAGATTCAGACCTTCTCTTCACCTTATTCCTCGTCCTCCGTGTAGTCGATTCCAACCCATCGTGTGAAAGCAAATAAAAATTCCTTGAAGTTCACCGTTCCATTTTTATCCCAGTCCATCTCTTCTGCAATTGCAAAGTGAACAGATTCAGTAATATAACAAAAAGCATCGACATTTTTAGAGAAAGGTGGTACTACATTTCCAATTCAATATTCATAAGCAATTTTCAGTCCCGAATGTGAACATACACGCACAACGAAATTTTCTTTCTTAGAAATAGGAATATTGATCTTCTTATCATTATCGTGCCCGTAAATGCATAAAATGAGTGAGTGAGTGAGAGAGAACTAACCAAATCTTTTCATTGCTATTCGTCCCGAAGGACGTTCACCTGATTCATTTATTGCTTGAACCATCTCATTCTTGCTCACGTAACCATCCTTGTTCTTGTCCAAGAACACAAATGCATTAACCAGTGTTTCAAATGTAGCTTCCAAATTTGGCATTCCCATCCTTGATTTCTAGTGTTGTCATGGAACACAAATATAAATTTAACACTTGATGTTAGTAGGGAACAGAATGGCAAAATGACGATACCCATTTCTCTGCCTTTTATGTGGCTCATATCCATGGAGACTGAAACTATTCCGCCAACAAAGATGGATTTAATATTTTAGGCCAAGATATAAAAATTTTTATGTTTCAAGAAAATTAAATCGAAGAATGAACTTCTTCCAGTAAAGTTAAACTCAATAGAGAACCCATGCTATTCAGTAAACAAATTGTCATTTCAATCAGAAAAGCTATTTACTAAAATATGAGAAATGTCAGGTGATACCAACAAACGATAGCTCAAAGTTGGATACAGAATGAACAGCAGCAGTATCATACTTAAGAAGATAAACAAGGCAGAGAAGCACAATGAACTCATTGAACTCCATGCCCATATCTTCATTAAAATCACACGCCAAAAAAAGATCATCAATTTCCTCCTCTGTAAATGAAAGTTCCAGCTTATGGAAACATTTTCTAAGCTCTTCACGATCAATTATACCATTGGAATCCTCATCTACAAAGACATAAAATGAAATCTTACATTACAAAAGTAATTATAGTATAAAATAGTGTGCTTGATTGCGCCTGTTTAGATGAATATGTCACAGAAAAAAGAGGATTTATATTCCGATATCAAAAGTATTCTCCAAAATTTCAGAAAGTTATGCTATGAAGTAATGTCCTTTGGAGATGAATTTCTTGTAAACGTAAAATCCATGTAATGGACTCCATAATCTTTCAAGGGCAAATAATTGACAAAAATATGTGGATTCTTTTTAACTGCAGTAATTTGTTGTGCAGGTCAGAGATTGAAGTCAAGGAATATGTTGATGCTAAACCATGTTTCATCAATAAAGACCATAAGAATACAATATTTAAGTTTAAACCAATATGTTTTGCAACTGCTAAATGAATCATACTTGCAGGAAAAACAGAGAGAAGCTGGATTACTACCAAATTGCTCAAAGATATCTTTACATTTCCTTAAGCTCTCATCAATTTTTGGAAATTTCAAGATTATGCTGTTGAAAGATTTTATTGCACATCCTTCAGCTTCCCTTCGCTGCATAGCTTCAACCATTTTCGCCTCGAGCTTTGTTTCTGGTATCCAATATCTAGGTGAATCATCCTGTACCTTAACACTTCCCATTTTCAACAAGACAAAAAGAAATGCAGGGTTCTAGTTCAGTATGTGCCTGGGCCAATAATCATATGAAGATGTTAGAAAAATTCTGAGGCTAGTTGAAACCACAAGGGAAGGACAAAAAAGAAAAATCCAGAATCATATGAGTATTAAAATATAATCATTGGTCCAGTTTGAAGTTAAACTTCAATCCACTTCTGTCAATCATTGCCTTAATTTTAACCCCTCTTTACTAAATTCTTTTGTGGTTTAGGTCCATAGTGGGGGCTTCTATAGGAGTTAAGCTAGACTATGAAGACACCCATTTGACAGTTTAAACTGCAAAATAAATAACTATTTCATTGCTGTATTCAGCGAAGGGCATTCCCGTGATAAAATCCTTAGCTAATTGATTATCTGCTGAGAATTCAAAATAAACATATTGGACACAACTGTAGCTTACCGATTTTCTTTAGATAACTTTACACTATGCTTCATGCAACAATAAATTTTAGCTTCACACAACAGTTAACACTAAGTTCAGGAAATAAAGATCATATTATTATCATTTGAAGCTTAATATAGCTCACTCCATGTTTAAACTTAGTCAGAATCTTCTTCAGCATGCACTGACTTGTAAATATCCACTTGTACAATCTGATTCAGAAGCCACAGGTTCAAATCACGGAAGCAACCTTCTGGTGATGCAAGGGAAATGCATCTACCTACCTGCCTAGAGCCCCAAGGCAGAAAGTCTCACGCAGTAGAACACTCAGTATCTCTTTTTAACATATCAGATTTAGCTGTATATGAGGTTTGCTATTTAAATATGTCTTTCTTAGCTGTACACTAAAAGAACAGGCTCAATCATGCTCATCAATATCTACTATTGCGCACATTAAAACTTTGAAACTTAACCAATCAATTTGATCTTTTCTAAAGAATTCTGAGAAGACAGAACAATCTAATTTAAAACACACTCACATTGATTAATTGCCTCAAGAAGAGCATGTTAAATCCCATGAATTTTTATGATAACTAATATCAAATTATTTGCCAATATCACAGCTTTCCATACTAAGATTTATTCTTCACCTAAAAGGAAATAAATAAACAGAGAATAACAGAATCCAGAATTATTCATTTTGTCTAATACAGATCACAAAAGGAAAGTAAAAAACCACTCCTAATCTTGTTTGTATCCTAGATTAAGAAATAAAACCAGCAAATAATTACACAACCAAATACACTAACTAAAAAGTTGAATGAAACAATAATAACAGACTACATATTCAGGAACATAGAAACTAAACTATAAACAAAATCAAGAATTAAACTATGAAAAGACCAAAGTGACAACAGAAAATCAAGAATCAGTAAATGAACCTCAAATGATGTGGAGCAGAAAGAAAAGCTAACAAGAAATGGCCTCCAAAAGAAAATCACAAAAACCAAAGATGACCCAGAAAAGAGTTTCTTATCAGAAACTAAAATTTGCAAAAAGAATTGTGAATGGATGCCAAAGATTAGGAAAAAAGAAGTGTTAGTTAGTCAACTGGGCTGGGGTCATGAAAACACCAAGTTTTTAGGTGAACCCAACACGTACTCACGGACTTGGCGCTTCTGGTTACGCTACTAACAAACCACTTTTTCTGGATTTATCTTTTTAATTTTAAAAACAAAGACAAATAGACAAGATTTAATTTGAAATTAATTTCTATTCTCTACTACGTTATATTATATTGCTTTATAGCTCTAACCCATAAATATCTATTTTGTAATGGCAAATTAAAGGAAGACGTGCACATGAATATGTTCTTTTGTTAAAAAGATTATGATATCTGGTGAATTGACACCAATTTTTGGGGTGAAAATTTTATAAAAAAAAATCATTTCTGTTAATTTTTTTAATTAATAAAACTATATTTATTAAATATTTTGATCTGCGAAACTATACCTATTTTATAACCTTTTTTTCTTTAACACATGTAACGATAATTATCGGTAATTTAATTTGGATATGGGATGTGTTTTTTGTGGGTCAGCAATTGAATCTGCTGAGCAGACTTTAGAGTTTTTGGAAGGTCAGGTTTCAGCATTGTTCCCGAAAAGCAACAAAGTGGTTGACGAGCTTGCTAATGTTGGTGTTCCTGCAGTGTTGGGTTGGCGTGTTTTGGATCATCCTCATCCAATCATTTTTGAGTTGTCAAGTCATGCTGGTTTAAAGTTGTTAGTTGTAATTACTTCCTGCACCAAAATATGAGTCTTTTCTTCGTAATTATTTTATTTCAAAATAAAAATATGTTTTGATTATTTAAATAAGTAATAAATAATATTTTTTAATTTTACTTTTATTTATATTAAATATAATAATCATCTTCAATAAGTTTTTTTTTAGAAGATTTGCAAGTTATTCTTAGTTTTAATATAAATGGTAACTTGATCAAATTATACTTATTTTTGTTATAATTTATTAGAATAAATTACTTTTTTAATTCTTATGCAAAAGTTTTAAGCGACTTATATTTTTAGACAAAATAAGTAATTGTTTCTAGATTGTGACTTGGATTCAAATATATACATTTCACAAGTTGTGCAATTATAGTAAACTTTAGTAAAGTAATTATAAAAGTAACAGAAACGTGATTATTTGTAATTACAAGAAAAGTAAATGAACCATACTTCGGAAAAATAAAGACAGACCTTTCGTCCAGAATTTAGTTTCTTTTTTCCATACTCCTTGATCGTTACTAAAAGACTTAATGAAACACGTCCCGTAACTTTTTGATTTTCCACCTTCTATACATGAATAATCGCTCAAGGAGTATTTTTATTTTGCTCAATTGCAGCCGTCTCTTTTTTATCTCTTTCTTTTTTTTAATTAATTAATTAATAAAATAATATGAATTAGACTACAATTAAATAAGGAGGGATATAATAGTAGATATCAGATTTTGAAAGTTTTTAATTTAAAAAATGTCACTTTGATCTAAACAATTCTAATAATTTCAGTTTTATTAGTGATTTACTTATTTGTCCTTTTATCTGATGCACTTTTGTTTCCTGTTTGGATATTTTTTACCCTGCTGTTTGTTCTTAAGGCTTCTTCTTCTTCTTCTCTTGTATAAATGGTAGACGATCACTTCCTTTTTTCTTCTTCTCTTGCATCAATGGCAGACAATTTAATAATGCAGGCAATTTATAATATTACATTATATATAAAAATCTAAGTTAATTAAATTTAAATTGTTAGAAGAAAGTTTAAATAGGTTGATAAGTAATTTTATTTTCATAAAAAATTGATTGTCAAATTATAATAATATTATAAATATATTTTTTTCTTAATAAGTTATTTAATTATTGAATTTTTTATTTTATTTATTTCATAAATTTTTTTTCTATTATTCTGTGAATTCTCTTATATTTTAGCTCGAGAACGGTTAACCAAACATCCACATTTTAATGTTTTATTGTTTTGCTTTTGGCATGTAGGAGAGATGAGGTTCATAATTTGCTCCAAATTTTGACACAGCATAACTGCGATCAATTTATTAAATTAGGATTAAATTATAAAAAATAACGATATAATTGTAAATTTTCATAAAATTGAAAGTAAATTGATTCGTCAAACATAAAATTACATGTGTAAATGCGTCAAATTTTACCAAACTCAGGAGTCAGAGATCATATATTCAAGTTCCAAAAATCAAGCTTAGAGTTTAAATATAGTTTGGACTTTATTTATAATTAAAAAAAATATTATGGCTCGTTTACAAATTTAAGCTCGAGCTGATTTTAGATACTCATACTCAAATTTAAGCATGCTTGTAGAATATAAATTTATGCTCAAACTTGAATTCATTTACAAGTATTTCATACCATCAAACTAGCTTGTGAGTCTCATTCTCCGTCATTTCAAAATTTGTCGGTGTATTTATTAAACAAGCTCGATGAGTAATTCAAATTTTAACTCATTAAATTTATCGAATAAACTTGAACTAATTTTTTTAGAATTATACGTTGAACATGGAAAGGGAAACGAAAGTGAGGCTAATACTTACAAATTTTTATCTCAGCGGTACATATTTTAAACTTATTTAACTAAGTCGTCAAATACCTATTTAAATCTTCTTGGAGGAATAATATAATTTAACTATCGGAATTCAAAATCTGTTTAAAATAATTAAATGAATTCTCTTAAAGAATAAATAAATGGATAGATACGGGTAAGGTACCTACAAGTATCCATTTTATATGTAACACGAAAAAGAAAATCCGTCACCGTTTAATCTTATCATTCAGGAAGGAGCAAGCCGGGTACAGGAAGATATTCGCTCTGTTTCCATCCCTGCTTTGACAACCCATGAGCCGGTTGAATCATACACGACACCACTAAAATAAAATAACAAGCCCACTGAGATTGTGACAAGTAACCTGCATTCGTGGCAGAGGGTCACCGCCACGAGGCACCAACTGTGTGTACCTGTACAAATTCTCACCTTTTTTTTTTTTTTTTTTTTTTTTTTTTTTTTTTTTTTTACACACCAACTGTGTGTACCTGCCTACAAATTCTCACCTTATTTTTTTTTTTTTTTTTTTTTTTTTTTTTTAAATTTATTAACTTTAGTCTCCTCTCCTCAATTTATGCTACGCAAACACAACAGAAAACAAAAACACTCTCGACTCTCATAGTTACCATTTCCTGAGCCTTTAACGGAAGACGGAGCATAAACTATTCGAAACCCTAATCAACAGGTAATCAAAGTTCGGAAAGTCGAAGCCCTTGTTCTTTTTTTTTGTTTTTTGCTTTTTAATTTTATAAATTATAATATATTGAATTGCTGTAGAGGTTTGTGATTTTGCATTGTTGATTTTTTTTTTTCAGCATGTTTTTTTTTTTTTTTTTTTGCTTTTTAATTTTAATTATAATATATTGAATTGCTGTAGAGGTTTGTGATTTTGATTGTTGATTTTTTTTTTTCAATTTTTGCAGAATTTTGTGTATTTCTAGGACAATTTGTTTATATTCATGAACTGTAGTTGTTGATGTGATTTTTTTTAGGAAATAATAATTATTTGCATGTATATTTGATTTTGATTGCTGATTTTTTTTGAAGTTTTTTTTAAACTTCTGCTGAATTGTGTTTCTAGGAAAATTTGTTTTATTTCTAGGAAAATTTGTTTTATTGATGAACAGTACTTGTTGATGATAATTTTTATAGGAAATAAGTTATTTTTTGCATGTATATTTGGAGTGGCTTTTGTTATATTTTATTGATTATTCAATATATAGATCTTCAAGTTGCTTGGCATGTCAGAGCTTGTCTTCTTTTTTGTGATATGTGTGATTCTTAGAGTCAGCCCTTTGTTTGGTTGCTGAAACAATGCAAAATTGATGGAATTATTGATTTTGGGGTGTTTGGTTTCATAGAAGGGGGAGATGCAGTATCTCATAGTAAAATTATATAATTGGTATCAAATGAATGTTGGATGTCCATATTTGAAGATATTTTATGCATAGACCCAATTTGTTTATTTTGCCATTTTTAATATATTAATATTGAGAAATACATGTTAGTTGAGAATTTTTTGTTCTTTTTGTTTTACAATTATACTTACCATTAGTATTATTGAATTGATCATTTCAATCCAGCTGAATTTTTTGATTTTTTAAATTTAAGTTTTTATGCAGTTAGTAAACTGAACTTTATTTTTGAAATTTCATAGAATTTGTGATGGCTTCAAAACGAATTAACAAGGAATTGAAGGATCTGCAGCGTGACCCTCCAGCTTCATGCAGTGCTGGTTTGTTTCTTTAGTATCATATGGTTCCTGAAAACTGTTGTCTTTTTGTCTTGGCATAATTTTGAGAAATTTGATTTTAGAAATGCACTAATCATATTTGGGATTATATTTTATAAAACCAATACATGTTGATGTGTATCCAAGTTTTAATTTTTCTTATACATTGTTGAAACAAGAAACAATAAGAGAGAGGTGATTATTAGAGAGAACTTTTAATGAGAAATTTGATTAGTGCATTTTCAAGCACATATTGTTTGCTAGCTACGCTTGTGTTCATAGCAGAAATTTGACCAGTTCATCTTAGAATATTCATGTTGCAAGTGGCTTAATGTTATCTGTTGTCCCTCAACACATAACTCGTCCACATTATGAGGTCATTTAAAACTCTCTAAACATCTATTAGAGCAATGCTACTGTCCTTTGTGTTGGGTTCCAAACAAAATCATGTCGAAAAAGAAACTCTCTATCAAGCAGCACAATTTTATAGAAAGAACTGGAGGAGAGAGAAAGAGTTTAGTAGGGATTATGAATGATCCTAAAAGTATGATTGTTAAATTTTAATAATAAATTTAAATATAAAATGGTATGATAAAGATTACACAAGTATTGTGACTCACTTTTGATCAAATTAGTCTTAAGGGGTAATACTATTACTTTAATAGGTGTTTAGCGAGTTTTAGGTGAAAAATTGAAATTGAGGAATGATAATGTGCATAAAGATAAATTTGCGAACGATGCTTGAAATTAAGCCTGGTGGAAGTGGATCAAGTACCGATAAGAATCATGATCTTGAGATATGCTGGCCTCATCATGCCTAATTCAAGATTAGATTTGCTTGATTTGTTATTTTATAGGCCCACTTGCTGATGATATGTTCCACTGGCAAGCAACAATCATGGGTCCAGCTGACAGCCCTTTTGCTGGTGGTGTGTTTCTTGTCTCAATTCATTTTCCACCAGATTATCCATTCAAGCCACCGAAGGTAAAATTTTTTTATCTTGCTTAGCAATTTGTTTATCATCCTATCTACAACAAAAAAATAAAAAATAAAAAAGGAAGATTAAACTTGTCATTATTAACGCTACTGCTTTTATTTTGCCTGGAACAAGTTTGATTGAAAACTGCAAAATGAATGGAAGTAATTTTGTGTCTTTTTTATTTGGTTTCACAAATTTTAATTAGTTTATAAAATGTTAAGGACTTCGAGTCTAGTATGTTAATGCACACTAGTGATTGTGAAATTGCTATCAGCTGATTTTCAATAATAGGTCTGATGTTTTGAAATACAAATAATTCTCTCTTCATTATGTGAATGGGGAAGTTTAACTTGTCTATTGTTTCTCCTTTGTTGTCTGTGGTGCATTATTGAATAGCATGTTTTAAGTTGTTTGTGAATGCTTGTTGGGACGTTTATAGGTTTCCTTCCGTACAAAGGTCTTCCATCCCAACATCAACAGCAATGGAAGCATTTGTCTTGACATTCTCAAAGAGCAGTGGAGCCCTGCCCTTACTATATCCAAGGTATTGTTATTTTTTCAATTATTATTATTATTATTATTATTGTCATTTACACATGGAATGCCATCTAACTGTTTCTTTATTCCATCTTACAGGATGCTATAGTTTGGACATTTTAATTTTATTAAGCTGATGATAGACTTGCATTTTGCTTCTAACAAGAGCTATTAATGATTCTCTCTCTTTTTTTTAGGTCCTTTTGTCCATCTGCTCACTGCTGACTGATCCAAACCCAGATGATCCGCTGGTGCCTGAGATTGCTCACATGTACAAGACGGATAGAGCCAAGTATGAGGCTACTGCTCGATCCTGGACCCAGAAATATGCAATGGGGTAGGGTTCTGCGTCTACCTGATGGCTATAGCATGCTTCATCCTATTAGCAAATAATAGAAAACTTCTTGCTCAGCTCTGCTGTCCTTGTTTTTGAACATTATAGTTAGGCTTTATCTTGTCATAATGCGACCTTACTAAAAGTTCTATACTAGTGTGAAAAACCTCATGAAAATTTGGCAAGCACTTTCCTTTATCATTTGTTAATCCATGATATATTGATTGTCCATTTGCATAGGCTAACTGCTAATGAACTTATAATCTATAAATTGATAATCAAATCGGTCTTGTAAAAGTTCATTCCATACTAATCAAGTCTGGGTTAGGTTTTTGTACATTCTCCAATAGACCTGTATATATTTTCAATATGAGAAAGAAAAAAAGTTGTTTTGGTCATGGGTTGAGAATCTACTCTAGCATCAATCTTGACAGTACATTCCGTAGTGGAACCTTACAGTGGGCGGGACTGAAATATGTTCTGTTTTGGAACCTTATTTCTGTTGCAATAGTGGTTATGTCTGTTGTGAATTGTGATATCAACGAAAATTATTTGAAAAATTGCGGTTATGCCAACCCGTGGGGCTGCACCTAAGGAAACCTGCTCTGTATATGTTCAGTATTGAGGTTCTGCAGATGACTAGAATCATAGCACAAATCGATTTAATTCCGTTTTATATTTAGGTAAAGCCGTGTTTTGTCTGGGGAATGCTAATAAAATACTAGCAGCTGTTATTGTGTTTTCTGAAAGGGAATGCATTATGTATTTGTTAAGTTACTTGTGCAGATATATAAGTCCAAATGGTTGGATTGGACAATGCTTAACTGAATTTCAAAAATTCCATCGTAAGGCCAATACCTCTTTCTTTGTACTCTTTCACACGGGACGTTTGGTTGACCAGAAAGATGCGAATCAAAACTTGATGATTCCATGTAATACAAATTAGCTATTCTGAATTCTAATCCCATCTGGGTAAAAATCAAGTTTGTAGAACGAAAAAAGGTTTCAAAGTACATGGTTTTTGTAATATTTTGGCTAGATCATTAAAAAAAAAAAAAAAAAAACTGAAATCCCATCTGGGTAAAAGAGCAAGTTTGTAGACGGAAAAAAGGTTTCAAAGTACATGGTTTTTGGTAATATTTTGGCTAATCATTTAAAAAAAAAAAAAAAAAAAAACTAAAACTTTGCTCGTAATTTTAATTTGTGCTCTAAATTCATTTTTTTTTCTTGTGAGTATTTTAAAAAAAAAAAAAAAAAAACTAAAACTTTGCCGTAATTTTAATTGTGCTCTAAATTCATTTTTTTTTTCTTGTAGTATTTTGAATTTTAATTTTAATTGTAATTTTAAATTTTACCTAACTTTTCTCTCAATTATAATTATTTTCACTAATTTAATGAGTTAAAAGAAAGTGCTGGTTTTATTTATTAAACATAATATATATATACTAGTTTCCATATATAACTAATGAGTTTCCATAAACTCTAGTTTTGTTTTGCGCTGTCACTCTTTATCAACGGCAGCTTCTACTTTGTACTTTTTTTTCGCTTCACCTTCTTTCGCTTTCAATCTTTTATTCATTTTGATAAATTTATATCTACGTCTCCTACAATAGATTTGTTCTTTTTTTGGTTTTGTTATTTCTTTTGTTTTCATATTTGGAATTTCTTTTGTCCTTTTTTTTTTGAGTGTGATCCCTTCTTTATGATTGTTTAATACTAATTAAAATAATATGATGAGATGCTCGCTTGGCCGGAATCCCAACTACTGCGTTGTAGGTGTGTATTTTTGATTAATGGAGCCTCGTAGTGCGGCATGTTCTTTCATTGTTCGATATTGACGTATAGTGTTGTAAATTCATCTATGTTCGTTGTATGTTGTAAATTCTTAGAAAAACAACCTATGTATATGAGATCCATAAAAGTTATTATTTTGTCATCCATATTAATTAACGGACCAATTGCTATATGAAAATTTAATTTTTTTGTCATCCACGTATAGGAGATCTAGAATATTTTTTAATTTTAGTTTCATCATTCAAAAAAATATGAGTTCTTTTTTAATTTTGGTTTCATTGTTCAAAAGAATATGAATTTTTTTAGTTTGTAAAAAGATAAGCAAACTCTATTACCTATTAATAGTAGAGTTCTATGTCTCGGCTAAATGAACATTTGTAATTTTTAATATTAGTATTAATAAATTATATTTTCAAAAAAAAAACAAAAAAAGAAAACTAATGAGTTCCCATTGAAATACTTTTGGACCTAACTAGTAGTGATTATTGCCGATCTTCTCAAAAAGAAAGTAGTTATTATTAGGGGTGGCCAAAATCCGGTTTTCGGAACTAGAACCATCGGTTCCGAACCGGTGGGAACCAGAACCGGACCGAACTAGAATCAAAATCGGTTCAAACCGGTTCGCTTCCAGTTCCACCATTTTTCGAACAGTGAACTAGCGGTTCTAGCTCAGTTGGAACCGACGGTTCTAGTTCCATCTGAAATCAGCCAGAACCGTCCAAAATCGACCTGAATCGGTGCGAAACCGGCAGGAACCGTCAGAAAATCGGCCAGAGAACCAGCCGGAACCGTCAATTTTGGAACCATTGAGGAACCAGAATCGGAATCGGAACCGTTCGGTTTCAAACCGTAACCGAAACCGTTAATTTTCTATTAGGTTCCGGTTCCAAATTTTTTGGAACCGAAACCGACGGTTCTGAAACCGTGACCACCCTTAGTTATTATCGCCATATAAAGAAAATGTTAAAAAAAAAAAAAGAAATCTGTTTTTTGCATGTTTCTAATTAGATTTTTTAGAAAAACGGTTAGTATCTATAACAAAATTTTTTAGCTTCATTTTTTTACTAATTAGTAGTCATATACATGTGAATTGCGCAGATATACAAATTTTTCTATTATTTGAAAAATATTAACAACAATATTTATTGAAAAATGAATAATATTAATGATGTCATTATTTTATTCATTACTACATCTGTTCCATAATATTTGTCACATTTGAAATTTCACATTCTTTAAGAAAACCATTAAACGTGTCTGAGTTACAATAAATTATTGAGTAAATTGACTATATTATCCTAAATTTAATATTAATTCTCCAAGAAAACCATCAAATTGAAATAATAATTATTGGTCATTATGAAGATAAACATAAAAAAATTTTAGTACTCCTTGAAACCACAAATGTGACATAAGTTGACAAGTAATATGAAATAGAGGTAATAATTTAGAATAATATTATTAATTTTATTAATGATTGAAAAACCGAGAAGTCATTAATATCGAAAATCATATTAATTCTAACTTTATCAATGTCTAAATTAAAAATTTAAATTATAAAATAATAAAAAAATAATGAAAAGGCAAAATAAATATAGATAAAAAAGTTTTATAAATTAAAAAAAAAGTTGAAAATAGTAAAGGTATTATTAATTTCATTGTCTTTTAAAAAAAAATTAATGTCATTATAGTTCATATAGATATTAATTATATTATAATTTTAGTTACTACTTTGAAATAACATCAATGATATTATTAGTTCCATTAATTATTAAAAGAAGCTTTAATGTACACCAAGGCATAATATACATGTTCTGACAATTTATCTTGTTCAAATCCCCTTCCTAATACTAAAAAAAAAAGTATTATTACTTATTAAAAGAAACTGAAATATTTTAAAATATTATTAATTTTACTAATTATTAACTAGTTAAGGTGCCGGTTATAGTTCATTAAACATAAAAATACATATGAACCAAACAAATTTAAAGGAGATATGTGAGTTTAGTGTATATAAACATACCAATTTTCGTATACAATTAATGGATTTCCATTGAAATAATTTTGAACTCAATTTAATAGTGATTTTATTGCCATATAAAGAATATGAAAAAAAAAATGCTTTATTTATCCCCTTCTTTTTCTTCTCAAAAAAAAAAAAAAAAAGAAAAAAAAACCTTTTTTGCACCTTTCCAATTTGATTTTCTAGTAAAAAGTTATAATTTATATAAAAAATTTTCAGCTTCCTTTTTCTCAGATAGTGCTCTTAAATACCTTTCTTTACTTATTTTTGTTTTCTCGCGAGACTCTTAACTATTTTTCTAAATTTGAAAATTAAGGGTGGAAAATTAGAAAACAGAGTTTTATATTTAAATAAATCAGTTTTTTATTTAGAGAACTATACAAAAGTTTTCAGTTTTCCAAATTTTAATTAAGGTTTAGAAAACAGCTTTAAATTGTTTTTCATAGTTTTTCTTTATAATAAAAGACATGTTTTCCAACTGTTTTCCATTTTTATAAAATGTCATTTTCATAATTGAAGTTATAGTATCTATAAATAAATTTTCTATAAAAATATTTAAATAACATAAAAAAAATTATATTATTCTTTAATATATAATAGAACAGTTTCCAACTGTTTTCCATTTTATAAGAATGTCATTTTCATAATTGAAGTTATAGTATCTATAAAATAATTTTCTATAAAAATATTTTAAATAACATAAAAAAATATATATATTCTTTAATATATAATTAATTTTATATAATTATATTATTCTTTAATATATAATTAATTTTATTATAACAAATATATTATATCTTTTATTTTTAAAAAATTTTGCAAAATGATAAAAATTGATGTTATTATTATAAATAATCCATAATAAAAATTAAAAAATTTTAAAAAATTGTAATTTTAATTATGAATAATGTTTATGAAGTTTTTAAATTAAAAAATATATTTTTTATTGTTACAAAGTGAATGCATTTTCCGTTTTCTACTTTCTAATTTTTATTTTCTAAGAAAACAGTTTTTATAGAAATAGAAAATTATTTTTTGTAAATAAACACACCCTGAGACCCTAAGGTCCTTAATGGAACTTATTAATATTTTCTTAAATTTCTATCAAATTTTCATTTGCATAAAAGAATACTTGTAACAACTTAATTATATAATCCAAACCGTAACTTGTCCAAAATGTAATTCAAGGGCGCATTAATATTCTTCCTTAGAAAGAAGGAGAATACTAATCGGATACATAGCTCTAACTCCATACCAAACTAATAAAAATAAAAAATTTTAAATATTATTTCTACTTTATTCTTTCAGAAATACCCCGTTCCAATAAAAATTTCAAGTTTGATCAACCAGAATCGTGATTCACTTAACCGAGCATCCCTATAAAAATATATTTCCTCTTTTCACATATTTAAGC